GGAATAAATCAATAATGATGTTGTTTTGTTTTGTAATTATCAGTCGTTAAAAATAAATTGTCGAGGAAAATTGGCGATTTGGTTGCAGCGTTGGTAATGAAAAGTCGGTTCGAGTGAACCATGTTTAATTTTTTAATAGTGGACCGTGTTGTGTTCTAGTAAGCCGTGGTTTAAAGTTTCAAATTAATGAAATTAGGTTCCCGGGTTGGTCAAGTTAAATTAAAATCTTCAAGTCTGTCAATCGTATTTTTTTTTCGAATCAAGTGGGCCGTGTCTGTACTCACCACTTACGTGGTTACCATCTATCAAATAGGAAAGAAAGTATAGATAGTAAAAATCAATTTATTATTTTGGCAGACCTTGGTTRGAATTGTTTGTAATTTGAAATTTGGTTTCTATGTTGGTTATGTAAAATTGACATCTTGTCAATATTTTTTTTTTGTTACCTTCTTGTCATTTCTTACTTCTAGGGGACCATGGTTTATATTAAAAGGAAATATCGTTTTATTAGAAAACAAAAGTTAATTTCAAGGCCATATCTATCATTTGATTTTTTATTTTCTCGTGGACCGTGATTGCGATCATGGCTTATTTAATAAATAAAAATATTAGCAAGAATAAAGATTTGATTCTTCGTAGAGTTCTTCGTAAAGTTTCTTAATGAAGGCATATTTTAAATACCGATTTATTTTTGAAATTGTGTATTTTAGTAGTCCATGGTTTAATTAATTTTTTCCCCAATTTGGTTCACTCGTAGGGGATGTGAATTCAATTTTTTTTTCTTTATTTTTTTTTACATATGTATGGTATGTACATACCTATTTAGAAAAAATGTTTTGTTGTGCTTATTTATTGGTTATTAAATTTTGAAAAAAATTGGTTTCTGCGTTGGTCACGTAAGCTCAAGGTAACACCTGTCAAATTAATAATACTGAAAAACATGTAAACGACCGATTTGTTTTCTAAATTTTGTGCTCTAGTAGCTTATGGATTATAATTATTGTGTATAAAAATTGTGTTTTCTTCTTATTATGAATCGCGATACAAAAAATAATGAAAAAAAAAATTGGTTCATTTGTAAGTGATATGAATTTGCTTTTAATTAAAGTCTGGTGGACCATGGTTTAAAATAAAAGTCAATTAAATTGAAAATTGTATTTTATTATATTATATAATATATTATATTATTATTATATTATAATAAATTATGAACTTTAGTACAAAAAGTAATGTAAAAATTTGGTTCATTCGTAGGTGATTTAAAAAATATATGTTTTGTAGTGCGTAGTTATTGGTTACGAAATTTTGGAAAAAATTTGGTTCCCGCGTTGGTCACGTAAGCCTAAGGTCACACCTGTCAAATCTGAAAAATAATAAAAAAAAAATATCTAAACTACCCCTTTTTATTTTTCACATTTTCTGTTCTAATAGACTGTGGTTTATGATAAATTTATAAATTTGAATTCTGTGTTGGTCATGTAAAATTAAACTCTTCTAGACTSTTGTTTAGATTAAATGTCATTTAAATCGAAAATTGTGTTTATTTAATAAATTATGAATCGTGTCACAAAAATAATGTAAAAAAAATCGGTTCATTCGTAGGTAATGTGAATTTGCCTTTTTTCGGTTTTGTTGTGCGTATTTGTTGGTCATGAAATTTTGTAAAAATTTGGTTCCCGCCTTAGTCACGTAAGCAAGACTCCATTAAAATACCTCGTTGTGCAATATACGTTCGTATTAACACATAGTCGTTTTATTAGTAACAACATACGTTTGTCCCATTAAGGTTGAGTGAAACTAATTAAATGAAAAGTGTTAATTATCCTCACACTTATTATGCTTAATGTTGCGTCAGATGGTTTCGACTGTTCGAAAATAGAAAAAATCCGGAAGTAAAGAAATCGGTCATTGTAGAAAATCGATTTATACGCCATCTGGAATTCGAGAAAATAATAAAAAAATATATATATAATGGCGCACGTGGCCATTAAAGTAGAACACTTTCGATTTCGATGTGTGCGTGTGGGTGGTTCCTCAAAGTATAATTTTCGCACCCTGTATAAGGATCACGTGACCGAATTTAAATAAATGTTAAGTAGTAAGGGTCATCGCTTGCATTTTATAAATATGATTGGTCCATCCTTGACCCCTCCTCCGATTGTCACACCGAACTTTTCAACGCTTTTCCACTCACCTTGGTACAGTTCTGTATTTATCAAATGTCAAGGGAACTGCAATTTCGGCCTCGAAAAGCCAAAATTCCGGGAAATTCGCCCGGAATCGCCTAAGATCGATAAAGCAGGTTTCTGTAATTTGGAAAATCGGTGAGACTTGTGGTCTTTTTTTGGGTTTACCTACCTGTGTCACGTGTGGGGGACCGGCTTTTGTGCCGGTGACCGACGAGTTGTCCCCCCGGAGCGCTACAACCTTGGCCTGTCTCATCATCGGTCCGCACCCAAAGCACCGGAAGCGATCAAAAGAACTACTTGTTGATCGACGACACGCAACCTGGCCTCAAAAAAWTCTCCGATAAAAAACACGAAATAAAAATGACGTTTGGGCAAGGGTGGCCAAATTAATCAGCCATTTTTCATTTAATTACGGCCTCAAAATGTTTAATTTTGATGCAAGAGAGGCATTTTTGTCTTTTCGTTACCCAAAAGAATCAATTCGAATAAAAAAACACGAAAAATTTTTACGTTTGGTCAGAGGTGGCCTAATTGTTAAACCATTTTTTTATAATTGATTTACGGCCTTTAATTTAGAATTCTAATTGGGAACAAATTAAATGCACACTTTATTATTTAAACGACAAGTATGTTTGATCAGTAAAAATAATAAATGCACAGTAAAAATAATAAATGCACAGCAAAAATAATAAATGCACAGTAAAGACAATGAATGAATGTCTAGCAAAACTAATTAATTTAATTTTTAATTAATTAATTTAATATTCACACATTTACAAACAAAATGTTTCCAAGCAAAATCGAAATATCGTAAAGTGTTCAAAAACAATTGTGGTATCAGGAACACAGCAGTGCAAAGAGTGTACACTGATTACTGATTACCATTTGTGCACAGTTTCCAACCCTTGCTAAAATCATTCTTGCGCAGGGACCATTGCTAATACATATACCACCCTCCAATAATAATAAATATTCAGTAATATAAAAATAAGTACCATTAATAAATAACATTCTTGCGCAGGCGCCATACATTGTTATGTAACCAAGACTGAATATGCTTTAAATTTTATGTTGTTTCACTAATTCTCATTAAAATTACTGAGCGTTTATTATTTTTACTGTGCAAACTGATTTTTTTTACTCAACAAATTACAATAAAAACTGTGCTTGCTTTAGTTAGCTTTTATTATTTTTACTGTGTAAAATATTATATTACTAATCATTTTTAATTTTTTACTGTGCAAAAATTAGTTAAATACTGATCATTTATCATTTTATATTGATCAAAATTGAATTATTTACTGATCCCTTTATTATTTTAATAATAATAATTTTAATTTAGAAGCAAAAGAGGTGTTTTCATTTTTTCATTACCCAAAAGAATCCATTCGATAAAAAAAAATCACAAAAAAATCGAATAAAATTGACAGGGTGGCCAAACTTGTGACCACAAAACCGTCAATTTCGAAAAAAAGAGATGAGAGCTATTCTGGTTTTGTCGTAACTTTATAAGAATTTATTCGACTAGAAAAGACAAAAAATTCGAATAAATTTGACTTTTTGCGCAGGGGTGGCCAAATTTTGTAATGTTTTTTTGTTCAATTGCAWATAGGGTCTTTAATTTGTTAATTTTTAAAACTAATTACGGCCTCAAAATCTTTAATTTAGAAGCAAAAGACGCATTTTTGTTTAGTCACAAGAATCCATTCGACAAAAAAATCGCGAAAAAAATAGAATAAAATTGTCAGGAATAGCCAAACACTGGTCACAAAACTGTCAATTTCAAAGAAAAACGGTGCTGTTCTGGTTTTATCTTCATTTTATAAGAATTTATTCAACTAAGAAAGACAAAACTCGAGTATATTTGACCGTTTTTTTGCGCAGGGGTGGTCAAATTTTTATTYATTTTTAAATGTTAATTGACGAATTTTGAAAAAAAGCTAGACATCTTCGAAAGAAATTGATTTAATAAATCAATTTATACGAGTGAATAAGAAACGTAAAATTTTGAAGAAACAAAACCTTTGAACAGGGGTGGCCAAAGTACTAAATCGTTTTTATATTAATTGTGGCCTCTAGGTGACCAATTTAGAAGCAAACAGTAAATTTCGTAGAAAAAGAGAAATAAAGTTTTTTTTCTATTTAAAAGAAATCGAAAAAATAAATAAATCTGATGTTTGTGACGATTCTGCTTTATTATTTAGTAAACGTTTACGCTTTCAGAATGAGTAATTTTGAGGAAAAAAACTACGAAAATTAATTAACTTTGACGTTTGGCAGGGGTGGCCAAAGTACTAAATTGTTTTTAGTTTAATTGTGGCCTCTAGATGAGTAATTTAGAAGCCACAGAGGCCGCAAAACAGTGAATTTCGTAGAAAGAGCAAAAAGAATTTTTTCTACTTAAAAAAACGAAAAAATAAATAATAAATAAAAGGGTGGCCAAAAAAACGAGGAAAATTCCAATACAGTGATGTTTGTGACGTTTCATCAAGGGTGACCAAACTAATTATTTTAATGTATTTTTTTTTTTTTTTTGAAAAATTGATTCAAAACTACGAGCATTGAAAGCACGGTTTCTTAACAAATAGAAGTGCCAACCAATAAATAAAATGAAAGTATATAAATGACATTCACTAGGATTGCCAAATAAGGAAATACAATCGGGTAAAAGATTGTAAATTTTTTGGGTCTGATAAGACTGTTATCACGATTGTCAAGTGTCCGAATTAGAAATAAATTGATAAGTGATTCGGTGTTATTTTTTTCAGCTCCTGAACTTAATCACTTGAATCTAATTAGTCTCATTGCACAAAAATATGAGTAATTATAACACTAATCGGAATATTGACTCCGTTTTAATCGCACAAAGACAATATTTGTTAAAGTTTATTATTGGTAGCGTGTCGATAAGTAATAAAAATTTTACCATAAAAATTGTGTAAACAATTCGATTCCGTTATTGTTGAATAATAGTTCAATAACAAATAATTTCTAACGGGATTTACGTTGAAAAATGTGGGAATGGAAACATTTTTGAATAAATTTTCGTTTTTTTTTCTGTTTCAGAATAAATTCAACTGCCAGGGTCCCACGATAAAGTTCCTAGGAAATGAAGGGGTAAGTTTTTTTAAATTATTCCAATGGTATAGTAACACGAAATACCAACCATGATGGGTGTGTGCGGATGAGTGATGTTCCCATAACGGGATCTACCGTAATTAATGACCCATTACGTCCGAAAGCAACCGATTGATAAATCTCGCGACTAGATAAACTAGATGACACGTTTTTTTAAGTCGTGTAGTTTACATTTCCTAAATAGTTGGTTTTGATTATGGAAAAGTGACAATTCTAGAAATAGATGACATAATTGAGGGTCGTAGTAGGTCATGTTTCGATTTGGTTGCCGCGTTGGTCACGAAAAATCGTTTTCTGGTGGACCATGGTTTAAAAATTTAGTGGTTAAAAAACCAAATTGCAAATTAACGAAATTGGGTTCCAGTGTTGGTCAAGTTAAATTAAGGCTGTGGCTGTTATTTGACTTTTTCGATTTTAGTGGGCCATGGTTCAATTAGGTATATTGTTAATAAATAGCGAAGTCTGAGATAAAAAAAAACAAAAAAAGAATAAAACAAGGAATTTTAATTTCAAGGTCATTAGATTTGGTTGTCTCATTGGCTTCGAAAATTTGGGTGCTGGTAGACCATGGTTTATTCATAATTATGTATGCCAAGAAAAATTTTGGTTCCCGTGTTAGTGATGTAAAATCAAAATTTCTCTCAAGGTCACATTGTCATTTTTCATGTAATTAAAAAAAAAAACAGTTTTTTTTTGTATTAGATTGTTAATAAAAAACAAAAAAAAATATTACAGAATTTTAATGTCAAGGCCGTTTCTGTCATTCGACTTTGATTTTCTAGTGGACTATAGATGCATTCACGTTTTATTTAATAAAAAAAAATATTGATAGAGAAAAAAAATTGATTCTTCGTAGGTCTCGTATTTGTTTTTAAATTTCAATTTCGTTGCCTCATTGGCCACGAAATGTCGAGTTCTAGTGGACCACAATTTACATATGTAAAAAAAAATTGGTTCCTGTGTTGGTGGTGTAAAATCAAAAAATTCAGTCTCTTTGTTTCGATTTCGAGAAATCGCAGCGAAATTTGCGTCATACAACCATCAAACGGTTACATAATTCATTCGCCGAACACGGTCACAGTCTGCACTTGATTATTCATGCATTGCAATGCCGAAATTCATTAGAAAAGTGCTATTCCTCTACAAATCTATTTTTTTTATTCGAAACCGATGAAAGTTTCGGTTTTTATACCAACAACAACCACATTGTGATGCATTCGAATAGACAAATTCCTTGCAATTTTACTTGGAAATCAGACGATGACGGATTTATGACGCATCTTAAAAGTTAATTAAACGAATATGTGAAAGTTCCACGGAACATTTTTAAAACAACGACCCAAGGCGAAAAGTTTTGGGTCGTAATTGTAAGCTAACACCAACTATTTATTCATAAAAGAAAATCATAATTTTTCACAAATTAATTACAAAAACTGATTTTTCAAAACAATATCATTTTTTTACAATACCGGGTGGGCCAAGTTTTATTCACACCACCCAAAACACATTCTAATTCAATTATAATTCATTTAGTTAAACTAGGGTTGTTTTGGGGGGTGTGCATAAAACTTGACTCACCCAGTGTATTTACTTGGTTGAACAAAAAAATGTTTACTCATAAAAAATGTCATTTTTTGCAATACAGGTTGTTTTATACTCACCATCCAAATCAGATTCTAATTAATTTTTATTAAAATAGAATTGTTTTGGGGGTGTGTGCAAAACTTGATCCACCCAGTATAAGAACCTCGGTTGTATAAAGGACGTGTCATTAATTAAAGGTTATTAAACAAATAATAACAATAAAATAAAATAAAAAATAATAATTCGAGGCCGATTCAATGTTGTTTCTTTGTGTGTGTTTCAAATTGTCCGAAATTGTAGACAAAGCCTCCCAAGATGTCAAAAATTCTGTTTCCTTTCGAGTAATAATAATTAGAATGTTGGTAATAATTAAATGACGCGTCTTTGGAAATTGAGAAAGTATAAAATAAAGTCGACAATTTCACTCATCGACGAAATTCTTCTGTTATTAGAAAGTGATATTGTTTCTTGACAAACGATAGATCTTGATCATACGATATTTTACGTTCACGTTGTCATAATCGCAACGGTTTAATGGCACGAGACTGTCTTTGTATGAAATGTCAAGGATGTCGGTCGGTCGATATAAATCGCACGAAATTCCATCGACAATTTCAAGCGTTTCACCCTCGAAAAAATTGTATTTTTATCGATGATTTAGTAATATTGCAACATCGAAATGCGCTGATTTGTGAATAATTTATTTAACATTTCACGGTGCGGTATGGCGTTTTTTTTCAATATTATACACTACACGACTTGAAAATTGCGCTGGATAAATTGGGGCATTTTTCATGTTGTCTAGTTTAGATAATCGGTTATAAAAAAAACGATTTCAAAAATTTGGAAGTCTCATGGGCCCTTTACATGTGTAAAATGTTCCGGGGAATTGATTGGCGTCTAGAAAATTCGTAAGTTGTAGGTAGTTTACAAGTTATAGTCGAGTTTATTTGGATATATTTGACTTCATCAGCAATTTTCTAGATAACTATTTATCGTAGAAGACTGATCTTTCTTTGTATAAGATAAAAAATTAAATTTTCTTTTCAACGGTACTAAACATAAGAGGTTATCACCAATACGCCTGGAGATATTGGCAAGAGACAGCTCCGTGTACCAAAAATTGACCAAAATCAAAAAAAAAATCAGCTTTAAAATTCTTCCATATAACGTTTTTCACATTTCTAGAGGTCTTAAAGACTCAAAAAAGTGGATAAAACGTTATTGGGTCAAGTTTAAAAAATTACGAATTTTTTGAGTTTCTGAAGGTGAGCGGTTGTAAAATCGTAAAAATAGTCAATTTACTAAAAATCGTAAAAACGGTTGAAATATGGTTTTCTAGACGTAAAATTACGCGCTGAACACGATGCAACAAGTTAAAATACTCTACGATGTATAGTTTTAAGTTTAAAATAAGATTAGAAACATTAGCACTATATCCGATGCTGACCAAAAAATCAAAAAAATTTTATTTTTATGAAAAACTAGATACTTTTTTCGAGCGTTTAAGCACGTTTTTGAGATAGAAACTTCTTTTTCCACTTAAAATTTTCCTTTCCCCAAAATCTAAGTAAAATCATGTAATTTTACATTTTCTAACGTTATTTATGCAAAAAAGCTCGTTTTTGAGATAAAAACTTCTTTTTCTGCTAAAAATTTCACTTTTTTCTTTAAAAGGGGCGAATCATCAGTTATTTACATTTCTTTTTTTTTGTTTTATTTATTTGGCGGAATTTTACTTTTGAAATGACTTTTAAGTACGTTTTTGGGCGTAAAACTTTTTTTACTGAAAATTTTACATTTTTCCTTAAGGCTTCGTCAAAACAAATTAACAAATTACAAAATTAGGTAAAAAATTACGTTGTTTTTGTCATTTTTCAAGAAATTAAACATATTTCTGACCACAAAACTTCGCTGAAAATTTCACTTATTTTCTCAAAATCACATATTTACGACGAAAAGGACGTTATTTATGCCTTTTTAGCGTTTAATCACATTTTTGGGCTAAAACTATATTTTTGCTGAACATTTACCTACATTTACCATGAGATTTCCTTAAAACAAGCTGAAAAAAAGCATTTTTAAAACTCAAAATTTGTATTTTCACTAACAGTTTTAAAAATTTCACTCTTTTTTTGCAAGCTTTTGCAGGCTGAAAAATTACCCTTTTAGGTAAAAAAGGCTGCTATTTTTAGATTTTTAAAATACTCTACGATGCATAGTTTTTGAAGAATAGGGGTGCATCTGATTTTTGTTAAAAATCTAAAAATTGAAAACTTCAAAATTGATCCAAATGCACTTGTGGCTCCAAAAATACATAAAACGTTGCAGAAACATGAAAAATTAATTTTTGTTTATTCATTCAAAAAAGATTGTAAAATATTCTAAGAGGTAATGGTATGGACCAAAATAAACAAAAAAGTTTTAATAAACATGGGTCCGCAAATAACGGTTTTGAAGATATCGAAAATTTTTCGTTTTTTGAAACATTTATTTGCAGTCTGTTCAAACAAAAAAGAGTAGCTTCTAATAGGAATTCTAAAAATTTTTACATTAGATTTCTCAGAATGTGATTTACTTTTTTGTTTATTTAGGTCCACACTATTACTCTTTAAATATTTTACAATCTTTTTTTAACACCCTGTATAATTATATTGGACAAGCAGAGCACACTGGCTGAGGACGTAAATCTTGTTTTTCTACATTCTTCTTTTCTACTTAATTTTATGTAATAAGTAATAGAAGAATTCAAACATTTTCCTAATATTCTTCTAAGTGTCTAATTCTATTCTCAAAAATAGAGACACCGAAGTAATTTTGAATAAAATAAATAAATTTGTAATTCATGTAGTTCCTTCCTCTTCTAACAAGTAGAAGCCTTTCTAAATTCTTCTTTTGAAAAATTAATCTGGTAGTTTATCTTTTCATTAGATGCGTCTACGAAATGTTCTAAAATCACAAATACTATCTTACTTTCTGCTTCCTAGCTTCTTTTACATAACAACTTTTAACTTTTATTTATTCTAGAAGCTTTTTGTTCTTCTAAAACTCTAAAATTGGTTCTAAATTCTTTTAAAATGTAGAATTCGACTACTTAATGAGCAACGTAACTTTTTTAAGATTATTTGATTTTTTTCTAAATTTTCTGTTACATTACGGTTGATTATAAATGCGTTCTAAATTGAAAACCGCACCTAATCTACTTACCGTTTTCACCTTTCATATTATACAGGGTGATTCTCAATTTTTCTCCCTTATCAAATAAGAATTCAAATCACTCGATACACTATCATCGACATTTTTAACATTCTCGACACGTCACCTAAAGGTCGCCCAATAGAAAGTTTTTATTCATAATCTTCCGTAAATTACGTACAGACAGACATCCAAATAATAATAATAATAATCGAAAAAAAAAAATTTAACGCATTTCTACCGTACATAGAACGAAATGTGAAAGCTATGATGAGATATATTTGAAATTTCTAACACGACACGTGGCCTACCGACGAAAATTTACATATCATGGTATCACGTGAACCGACCTTCGCAGTAATTTTGCTTTCAATCGGGAATTTCGGTTTTTCCCCCCGAAAAAATCCGAAATCACCCGATCAAGGTTACTAGATTTTCACTTTTGTGTAATTAGAACGGGCGCTCGGGCGGAAATTCAATTAAAATGGCAACTCCCAGCCAACTTTATTTTTAATTTTAGGCAACGAAAGGAAAACGCAACGTTGCCAATTTACGTCATTTCGAAGAATAACCAAAAAAAAATGTGTTATAACCTCGTTCGGGTGACAATGAATGAATCAGATCATCGAATGTGGGATAAGCTAACTGTATACACAACGATTCGTTGTGTTACTTTTGCGAAACGGAATCGTTTCATCGCGAAAATAGAAAAGAAAAGATGCACCCGGATGCTAAACACTTTCCGAGGAGAGAAAGTGCACTTTAAAGGCTTCGAAAATTTGTTAAAATCATTTTCTGAAGCGATACGAAATTGTCTTGTTTTTTTTTATTCGGACTAATCAGACCGGGAAGGTAAGAATTTCTTAGGAAATTTATCGGAGAGAAAAATTAATGCTTGGAATTCGACGAAACGTGCCGCCAGCACAACACTAATTATTATTATTATTATCATTATTTGAGAATCATCGGTCCTTTCTAAAAATGCAGACTTAAAGGTCAAATAAGCGGCCCATTTCATTATGACTGACTAATTGTTTACACAAAGGCACAAAAATGGCCAATTTTATGACTTAATCGACTCTTCCAACGAAAACTATAGTAACTCAAAAATTACAGTTTTGAGAAAAATTGTATTGAATCTTTGATTCTTAATAAAAAATCAAGGAACTGTTTAATATTATTGAAAATTGCTAAAGGTCTAAATTTTAGTAATAAAATTGTTTTTTCAGAGAAATTTTTTCTCATTATTTTTATATTTTGTGTCCTACATAAGCCATCGTACTCAAAAACCAAATTTTGCTATAGTAGTTACTATAATACTACTATACTATTACTATACTACTATAGTATTCGTTGGGAGAGTCGAAATGTCACAAATAAAATTTTTATCTTTCAGTCATGGAATAAAAACTTTTTTTTATTTTTATCATGACATTAAAACTTATCAGTGTTGTTTCTTTTTATTTTATTGTTTTTTATGTTTATGCTCTTATTTATGCTTAAAGTGAAAATGCAGAAATAGAAGAATTAGGAAAATTAAGATCATACTTTTTGGAAGAAAACTTTATTATTTGTACAACATAGACGTGATTCTTAGAAGAACATCATTTGCTTCTTCTGATTCTCACTAAACATGCATCAAGTTTGAAAGAAGATGTTTATTCCTTCAAACTTGAATTAGAAATTAGAAATGTTTGCCTCTTTGTAGAAAAATTACTTTGAAAATGTTTAGAAGACAATATATACAATAATATATTCTACTCTTCAATCTTCTTCAATCACAATCGAAGATTTAAAATATTGTCTTAGAACTGTAAAAAATGCAAAAATAGAAGAACTTGAAAAATAAGACCATACTTTTTAGATGATCTAAATTGAGTAAACTTAATTTTTTGTACAAAATAGAAAGAGATTCTTAGAAGAACACAATTGTAGATTTATAGAATGTAAAAGAGAAGAACTTGAAAGATTAAGACCGTATTTCTTAGAAGATCAATCAGTTTTTATTATTTGTACAAACTAGAAGAGATTCTTAGAAGATTCTCACGAAAAATGCCTCAAGTTTCTCCTAACTTTGCTTAGAGGATGTTTCTTCTTCATGCTTGAGTTAGAAATTGAAAAAGTTTGCTTCTTTTTCGATATTTTTAGTAGAATCAGTATGTTCATTTTTAACGTTTTACCCAGATTTTATGAGTCTGCTACTTTTTTTGAGGAATTGAGAAATTTCTTTGATTGATGATGTTTGAGGTTTCTTAGAAGACAATATAAATGTTCTTCTATTTTTATTTTCTTTCATCACAAGCTAAGGATTTAGAAGACACATTTTTTTAGAATTTTGTCTCTAAACTGTAAAATGCAGAAATAGAAGAACTTGGAAAATTCAAGTTATACTTCTTAGAAGAAACTAGATTTTTGTACACAATAGGAGAGATTCTTAGTAGAAAGTCAATTGCTTCCTCTGATTCTCACATCAAGATTTTTATAACCTCTCTTCATTCTTGAATTAGAAATTAGAAAGGTTTGCTTCTTTGTAGAGAACTTTAGAAGAATCAATATGTTAAATTTTAACATTTTCTTTAGATTTTTTCTGAGTCTGCTACTTTTTTAAGAATCTTTAGGTTTAAGTTTGTTTCGATCACAAACTTCTTAGAGAATTAAATTTTAGTAACTATATTTTTTGCACAAAAATAGAAGAGGTTTTTTTGAGTGTTACGGAATTTGCGTCAAGTTTTTTCTAACTTTCCCTTTTTTGTCGTAATTGAATTAGAAATTAGAAAAGTTTGCTAAGAAGAATCAAGGTGTTAATTTTTAACGTTTTGTTTAATTTTTTTTAAGGAATTGAAAAATTTCTTTAAGATTATTTGAGGTTGCTTAGAAGACAATATGAGTGTTCTTCTATTTTTCTGTTTGTTACTTCTTAGAAGATGAAATTTTAGTAAACTTAATTTTTTCATACAAAATCGAACTTTTCTTAGAAGATTTGTTAAGATTTCTTATGGATGTGCGGTTATGTGGAATTGAGAAAGTTCTTTGAGAATTTTTAAGATTTCTTATAAGACAATGTTCTTCTATTTTTCTCTTTGTTTTTTCTTCAATCACAAATTGTAGATTTATAGAATGTAAAATAGCAGAACTTGGAAGATGAAGACCATACTTCTTAGAAGATCAGTTTTTATTGTTTGTACAAAATAGAAGAGATTCTTAGAAGTTTCTCACGAAACATGCCTCCAGTTTCTCCTAACTTTTCTTAGAAGATGTTTCTTCTTCTTTGCAGCAATTATCTTTCCCCTCCGTGCAAAACGGCTACACCTCTTTTAGTTTCTCCATGTCGAGCACGGCGGATATGGAGGGCCCCGGGGGAAGTTTCGAATGCGTCCAACAAACTGGTCCTCTCCCTCGGGGCTCCCTCGAAGTCCTCGGTTCAATCCCATACAAAGTCCGTGTTCGCGCCAATGACGACATCTACGAGGCTACCCGCCATCGCATGACCATCGCCGAAGAAAACCACAAGAACAAATGGTATTTCACCCCCACATCCCCATCCACCCCCTCCTCAATCTTCATCTTCTTCTAGCACAAGGGAGATAAAACCAAACGAAAAAGACATTGGCCGTAAAGTGAAACTGAAACAGAGTCGCGCCTCTCTGCCGCCCATCCGTCGGGAGCCGCCGCCCCCGGCCCCCAAACCGTCTTATCAGTCGAATCTGCCCTCCAAACCGCCGCCCCCCGTCATCTCCTCCAGCAATGGGCTGTCGAATGGTTTGGGGAGCAATCACGTGAGCAGCTCGAGGCCCCAAATGAATAAACCCTCCGTCCCTGATATCGCCCGGAGGCCCATCAAGTACGTCCCTGGTATTTTTTTAAATAAAAAAAAAAACATCCCCGAATCCGTGTTTTTCAACCAGGGTCGAAAATTTTCCTTAAATATCCCAAGATCCTCTCTCTTTCTTATTTTTGTTAAGTCTTTGTCTAAGTCAAGTCGTTTCCAGAGAGCGATTAATTCATCTTCTTGCGTTGAGGCCCTTTAAAAAGGTTGAATTACATGACCGAATAACGAAAGGTTTGTATCGAAATTTAGGGTTTTTTGCGACTAATTCGGCGATTTTGTCCTGTGTTTAGAGGGTGTCAGGGAGAAAAATGGGATAACTTCGATCCTGAAACAGATTTCTTTCATGAAAGATAACTGTTATCACCTCAACAGGGCGATGTGGAACGAAGTGAACGAAGACTGGCCTTTTTATACCGAATCGGAAAGGCAAATGTTAAAAAGGTAAAAAAAAGTATTTTATTTTTATATATAGGTTGTTAAAAAATATTGTAAAATATTTCATGAGGTAATAGTATGGACCAAAACAAACAAAAAATTCTTAAGAAACATGGGTCCGCAAAGAAGGGGTTTGGGAGATATCGAAAATTATTTGTTTTTTGCAAAATTTTATTTGCAGACTGTTCAAGCAAAAAAGAAAAGCTTCTGTTTTAATTCTAAAAATTTTTACATTTGCTATCTCCGTAACCGCCACTTCGCTGACCCATGTTTATTAAGTCTTTTTTGTTTATTTTGATATACTATTACCTCCTTAAATATTTTACAATCTTTTTTTAAATCCCTGTATTTTTTTTTTTCGTTGTTGCATAATTATTCTAATCGCGTGACCTGTCAGATAACACGATATTTTTAGAAAAATTATCAGTTTTGCGCACAATACAAGCAAGCAAACAAAAGAAAGTCTTAATCTGTCCTGATGACAATCATCGAATTTCTTTATCTTTAAGGTTCTTGTTTCCGGTGTGATTAATTTTTCGTTGAAACGTGTAGTAAACATGTTTTTCTATCGATTTGGTAAATTGCTGGCCATTAATAGTTCATTGTACTGGAAATTTTTTGATGTCAAAATTTATTTTTTATCGCCTACGGTGTAACCTATTTGCTTTATGTATTTGTTTTGGTGATTGTTTTCTTTTACTCTAAACTAAATTTTTATTAAAAATTGCATCATTTTGAATTTTTTGTTTACTATCCTATTTACTATGTTGGTCAATAAAATACGAAATGTTTTATTAGATTTTTATTGCCTACTT